CCCTTCCCTTGTCTGTTGTGAGCCGCCCGGAGTCCTCTGGGAGTGGGCGGCATACAAGACAAATAAAATGAAATGAAATGAAAAATGAAATATTTTCTCTTCTCTTTTTTCCTTTATGTTTGCTTTTAGCTATGTAAAAACATTTAATAAAAATTATTTAAAAATGTAAATGTTCCCTAAATGCAACCACTAAATAATGACTTTCTGTACCAAGATTCTGTATGATTACATCTTAAACCGGAGGTTGGAACAATTCAAACTTTAGTTTAATTTAACTAATTCCTTTGGATTTAAAAGGAAACACATAAATGAATCTTGATTGAAGAAGTGAGGTGAATTTCACCATTCTGATAGATGTTTTTAAAATACACTTTATATGCTTTTAGTGCTTTTAGTTCCTATCCCATGCATTAGAGAACCTCAAGAGAAACTATTTCAAGATCCTTTATGCTTTTTACTCATATCTTTTCTTCCGCCAGCTCTCAAACGTGCAAAAGAAACTATTCAACCATATACCCACCAACATAAATCAGAAAGATATATCCATTTGCCCAATACATAAACATGAACATTCCTCATTTAGTAGACTCAGGGTGTTCAAATGTTCATAGGCAACTAGCTTCTATGAAGTGGATGAGGCTATAAACAATATTTTCTAAGCTACAGAGACAATTTTAAAAAGATTAGGAGCAATTAAAGGTTTCCCTTGTCCAGTCAAAACTGATTCAAGGTGATGGTGCTCATCTCTAATTCTCAGCCTAGGAAGCCTGCATTGTCTGAGATATGTTTTTATCATCATGTGGCCAGCATGAAAATACAGAACGTAGTAACCTTTCCCACTGAAGTGGTACCTATTTATCTATTTGCATTTGCATGCTTTCGAACTGCTAGTTTGGCAGGAGCTGGGGTGAGTAATAGGAGTTCAACATGTAATGCTGTGCTCAGGTCTCAAACCTGAGCTGTCAGCTTTCCAGTAACAGAAAGCAATGGAAGTATATAATTATGCAAAACTTCCTGTCAATGCTACTACAGAAGTTCCTTTTAAATTCCTGTTACTACTAAAATTCCATTAATTCCTGGGATTATATACATACAACAACTAGGAAGTTAAATAAGAAATCTGGAAAGTTGGCAAAGACAAATAACTTCCATATAACTTCCAAGAAAATTACAAGGACATTTCTGTAAGTAACTCATTCTAGATGAAGTTGATTTTGCTTTAATAATGAGTAGAACTGACCTTAATTAAAGTAAGAAATCATAGAATAAAATGACAATTATACAGTATATGGATCTTGTCCATTTATCTACTAAATGAGAATTCTGCCAGGCTTATAAATACATATATTTAAGTCAGTGAAAGCTAAGATAAAAGGATCAAAGCAATTGCTCTGTTTCAGACTTTATTTTCTAATATCTCCTCAAACATTTACATAAACATTGCAAGGAAACTCTTATTCTTTGAAATAACATCATTTGCAGAAATGGCACATTCTCAATTTTCTAGATTCTATTAAATATTTCAGAAAGTTGCGCTTAGCAGGTCTTTGCAGGTCAGCACATGGATGAAGGTTTACCTTATAATGTACATTTTAGCTTTATGGGCTCAATTAAGAGAGAAAAATTACAAAGGGTGGGTCATATTACCTGAGTTATCCGCCAGCCTGAATCGTCCACAACAAAGATGCCTTCTCCATTGCTTTTGTACATTTTCTTTCATTGCACAGTGGAATATAAATATAAATAAACCTGAAAAGGAAAATAATAATAAAATCTAGGATATTTTTAGTAAAAAAATGTTAAGAAACACACATAAAGACACAAATACCTTTGGTTCATGAAATAGTATATATGATATTTTGATATATACCTTAACTAATTGTTAAATATGTGCAAACCTAACCAGATATTAATTCAACTGATGGTAGAAGTTCTAATAAATTAGATCAGAGGTCCTCAAACTGTTCAGCTCATCAATCCCTTCATGCAGTTTCAGCTTGTTCATCATTCTCCACACTTATTATTATATGAAAATAATTTAATAAATATTATTTTAACTAATGATTCTATGTATAGTAATCAACAGTCCTAAAGGCATTTGGAAATCAGTTAGACAGGCCATCTCATTTTTAAGCCAAAGTGGTTAATATATGAATGGCATCCAATTGAGCAAATCCTGGGCATGTGTCCTTTCTCCATAATTCTCCTCCCATTATTCCCCTATTCATGCTGATGCTGTATCCTTAATGGTGACATTAAACAGGAGAAAACAAAGCTTTATTGAACATTACTGTTGTTTCCCTGATGCCTTTATACTTAGTACTAATACTGCTGCACTCCAGATTCCATCCATTCCTCCTCTTATAGTGCCATACAATCACAGTAGAAATGCCAGGAAAGAGGCATATTTGAATGCTGAAGTTGGATGGACCTGGGCTCTGGGGACAAGCATGTATAGATATGGAGTAAAGCACTTTAAATTAACTTAAATTAAACTTAAATTAAATTTAAGTTCACATTATTCTGCCTTACTTGTTGGTCCCAATGGAATTTTGCCATCCACAACCCATAAGCTGGCAATTGTTACATTGTTATCATTTTTTTAAAAAAAGAATCTTATTTTATTTCCGTTAATTATATTAATGAAATAGAAAACACATTTTCTTTTTAAATGACAAGGTACTCCAAATGTATTTATTAATTATTTTAACAAGTAGCATTCTAACAAATATTATTAATACTTTTCTATTTCTCTGTTTATTTTAAAAAAATCCATATCTGTACTTCAAGATAACTCTATAGCACGCTGCATATAGAGATAAACATTCATTTGTTAAACATTGCAAATTAATGCTAAAGATAGAATATAGGAACTGGTAAAGAAAAACAAATGTATAGAATTAGAACATGACATTATTACTATGCAGCTATCTGGAATTCAATAGGAGAGTGATTCATATGGCTTACATAACTTGATTCTAATCATGACATTTTAAATATAGTTTATATAGTATTCATATTGTTGATGTATACACAAGTTGTACATATGAAATAAAAGATCTATTGAATGATTTTCCTCTAGCACGTACATGACCTTTTTATTGCTAGGGAAATAGGAACTTTATTCAGTTATGCTTGTATTAAGATATATTGATAAGCAGGGGAGAAAAATTTCATAAATAGAGTACAGCTGTATAAGTGGGTACTTATGATACACTACTGTATTTTTCAGTTATAGAGCACACATTGCTTAGTATGAAAAAAAAAACCTGTTCAATTTGTAAATAAAGTTTTTTTCTTCCCTTTAATTCCTTGAACTAATTAACACAGGCTGCTATTAGGGTTGTTTGCTAAACTGGAAACTTTCTTCTTCCTAAGTGGGATTCTTTGAAAAATGCGTAAATGTGAATTTGTTTTGGAAGTCTCATTGGATTTCCAAGAACAAATTTTAATATTTCATCTGGATTTTGGATAATAACCCAGATTCCGTGACTTTACTGTAAGAGTGCTCAAGCAATTCCAATAAAATCAAGTATGTTCACCGCAGTGACGTGCGGTGAGGGATACCGTTGGTGAGGCAAGAGCGCAGCCGCGGTGAGAAGCACCGCCCCCGCCACTTTGTCCGACAGGCGTCTCTCGTTTATGATGGACATAAACGCAAGACGCCTGTCGGACAA